AACGCGCATTAATACAGTACTGCAGTAATAGCGATAGCGATATAATACGTTTATTAAATCAGCCAATCGGAAATTTTGATGACGTCGATCATCATTAACCAATAAAATCGAACTTTCCCTATGCTTAAGGGTCATAGGACGACTTTTATATGATTGGTTGTTTAAGTCAATTTAAATGAAAAAAAATGTGCATAGGAGGTATTATTAGTGTTGTAGGACACCACTGTTGAAAATGATCAAAATCCCTTTTTGTTTTAGAGAAGTTAGCATAGTAATAATCTTGTTCGATCTATTTTTAAGAAGTTATTATAATACTAACTTCACTAAATCATATGAAAGTCGTCTTATGACGTTCTCAAGCACCTTTATCAATGAATTCAATAAAGAATCTGATTGGCCATTTTGATCAGACAGATCAATCAGGTTCTCTGTTAAGTCTTTTGAGAAAGATGCCTAAATCACATAGTGTCCATATCTCTGATCTCTAACAAATTAGACTCGTTGTGCCCGATACAAAATATAATTGAAAGCCCAATACAGGTTTTCCCTTAACAATATTCATTTCAATTTATGCAGTAATTGCCTTTTGGTTTTTATTTTATTTTATTTCACGTATCTATATTCGGATAAAAAAACTGATGTATCGATATCGTTTGTTGATATCGTTCATCGTATGCAAGTATTACCGCTACAAAATGCGTACCCTTACCTATTATATATATGGCACGTAATAGGTGTTTCAAGAAAAATTTGAATGCAAACTTATGTACGCCCATTGGATTAAATGACAAACTTTACCGGGGTTTAAAGACTACTCCGAAAATATATTAGTATCGCGGGGTTGCTACGTAATTTTTCCCACCACTCCACTATTGGAGTATCACGAAAAGGGATCAGTATGGTATGGATGTGATTTTACCAAATCGTACCATACTGTTTTGCTTAATTGTCACACCCTCTAGAATTTAGGGTTAGATCTGCCCGGAATTATGTTTAACGCCGGCCGGGTTTTCTAGTGGATGTGACAATTAAGCAAAACAGTATGGTACGATTTGGTAAAACCACATCCATACCATACTGACCCGGTCAGTCGTACCATACTGATCTTCTGTAATCCCATCACGAAATGATTAATAACATAGATACTCCGATATGTGAATAATAGTATCGCCAAATTAAAAACCAATAATTAATTTCTTGGGTTAGTTCTAGGTTTTAATTTGGCAGCACTAATTGAAAAAAAATATGTAAGTTTTGAGACAATGTTTCCTCATGCCTTCTTTGATGGCTCAATCAGTAACCAATTTATTATTATTATATGTGTCAATTTCTTCACTTTACACGTTACGATCTATCAATCTGCTTGGTTACACTCTATCGTTAACAATTTTTCGAATTAGAGTCACGAATTGGGCAAAGCCAATGATTTTAATTATCGTTGTACTTTCATCTAATAAGACTGGTGATGTATATTATGATAAATATATAAATGTAATAAAAGAAATCAATGATGTAAATTGTATTTCTGCATTTTAATTTATCATTGATCATAGATATTGTTATTTATGATATATATAAATACATGAATACGTTCTATCACAACACTTATTTTAGTTTCTTTCTGCAAACGATCATAAGATCTGGTGATACCGAGCTTGACGGTTTTAAACATACATATTATTTATTATTAAATTAAGAAACTCGATTCTTGAGAATATTATTCTGTTTCAGAAAATAGTATTTTCCAGATTTATCTCGACTTTTTTTCGTTCACATTCACAAGATATTCAATGAAATAGCTATAAATTTGATTTATATCGAACCTTCCTTTTTTTTTTTTCTGTAGACTTTTCTCACTTGATTTGAGGTGACTATGGAAGCTAATGATAAACGAAGCCTTACAATTAACAAAAAGAGTGTTGATATGGCTTCAAATTTCGCTGAAGGTGATGTTAATGTTATTGATAATGTCGACGGGAAAATCCATGATCCAGAAAAAATTTATGAAAAGAAATTAGATGAAGATTCTCTAATTCCCATGATTGCAGCGGTAAATTTTAAAATGTCAACTATTATCCTTTCACTGGTTTTGTATTGTATTATCTTCAAGCTTTCTTTGATCGGAAAATCTTAGGCCGTCAGTACAAGTGACAATCCGACGTTACCGTGCTTAACTTTTCGATTCTGGGTATTAAGTAGTGTAAGTCCTAAATTGCATATGAACAATCTGAACTTGATAGCTGATTTTATACAATAA